TAATTATTTATTTATTTTCATTGCTACTGTTTATTGTTATTATCATTTATTTTATCGTTATTGTTTACCGTTAATAGTATCTATTTAATTATTTAGTTGCATTCGAGAAATGGATGTTTAATTGTGCACTTGGATGAAATTGGTGTATTATGATGAATGAATTGTCTGATTATTTGTGCTGTGACTATACTGTGATTTGTTTGTGTGGAATTGGGATGAAGTGGATTGCTTTGTTGTGTGGAGTTGGGATGGAAGTGGTCACCATGGGGTTTTGTGAAGATGTTACTTACTGTATATGGATCCTGATTCCTGATTTCTGTGTAGCCGGGTAAATGGGAAGATCCGGCGCCTGCCCGTGTGCACCTACTGTTCTGATCCGTATGATTATGGAAAAGCCAACAGGTTGTCTAGATTTGATCGCAGCCCGCAGGGTGGCCTCCTGTTGTGAGCGTCTGATGATCTAGATTGGATGGAGACCACCGGGTTGCCTCCTGTTGGTATAATAAAAGATAAAAAAAATAAAAAAAAAGAAAAAAGGAAAAGAGAGAATGGAAAAACAATGAGAGGGCTGGTCAAGTGAGGATTAGACCGGTCGGCCAGTATGTGGGATCGGCTCCCTGGTGCACATGTGATAGGATGAGCCATGTGGGAGGACGGCTCATCGGGGGTTCGGTGACTCCACTGACCAATTTCCACGTGATGTGATTATATGAAGATGTTAATGATTGTTTAATAATTGTGGAAGTGCTGGTGGATATGCCATTTGGTGTGACTGTCTGTGGTGAGCAATATTAGCTAGTCCGGTGCCACATGACTAGAATTGATATATTTATACATTTGTGGAATGCATGTTGTTGGTGGCAATAATTATTATTCATTAAATAAACTCACAATCTCTTTTGTTTAAATCCTTTCAAGGAAGTAGCATTTTCTAAATCCCAGCTATAACTCTGCTCTTTCACTGTTTAAAAAAAAGAAATTCTCTAATTTTTAGTATTGATCTATAATAGATAAATGTCCCGAAGGTGTTTAATCTGTATAGATCTGTTAGTGAACTCCGCAGTTATAGGATTTGTTATAATTTTAAGTCGTGTATTAATTATAAGATGAAATAATTTCGTGAGCCTATATTAATAAATAATAGGAGTGTATTGTAAGCAGGCGATTATATTATAAATATAGTGTATTGTAAGCAGGGCGATTTGTAAATGTTTAAAATTTTATTGAGATAATAAATTTTTAGTGTTTCAGGCTTACTACGGGGCTCGGGAGCTTTAAGCTTACCTGGGCCCTAGTGCCGGTCCGGCCCATGGAATCGGGTCGTGACAATTATATTAATTAATGGTCTAAGATTTCCCCAAAAAAAGAAAACTTATATCCCATTGTAATTTTAGGGATTGTTTTCTAATTTTAAGGGTGTTAAAACATAAGGTAAAATTGATTTAGGGTGGTATTTAGTTTGCATGGATAAACTGAATTTTTTTTTATTTTTGTTTTAGTGTAAGGCTTAAATAAATCAGCCTAAAACCGATTGAACTAATTAGATTTTGAACTATATATAATTTGAGACTATTTTCATTTTGAAAATTCACTTTAATTTTGATATAATTTGGTGTGATTTCAAATTAAGGTGATAGTTTATGCTCACCTATCTATAATTAGTTTTAAAAGTTATCCTTCATTTTATCAAGTAAAATCACTTGATTGTTCAGCAAAATTTATTTATAATATCATATACAATGATTTTCTTATTTAGTCAAACATGTAAAAATATTAAAATTTTATAATTATTCATAAATTCTATAAAACATTAACAATTTTATATGAATCTTATTTGGTTTAAATGAATTTTATATAATTTATATATAATTTTTTTATATATTTAGTATAGCAAAAGTTCACTGGAGTTTAGATTTTTTATTTATTAAATTGATTACATTTGAATTAATTTTTTAAAATTGATAAACTCTATAAAAAATTTTTAAACTTAAAAGGTATAGAAATTATTAAAATCAATGATCTTAAATATAAATTGCCTAAATTCAAATAGATTTAACTTGATTAAAATATTTAACTTATTTTTAACTATTTATGCATCCACAATAAAGAAATGAAGTTCTAATAGTAAAAGGATACACACAATATAAGAGAGAAATTATAATAAATAGTTAATATTGTATATGAAAATAAACAAGTATAAACTACGAGTATTAAATACGCAACAGAAACATGCAACGCACGTTATAAAAAATTAAAATATATTTTTAAATATTTGATTATGTTCTTATTATAATTTAAAATATTCTATTTAGAAGAGAATAAATAAACAAAAAATTAAATTCTTTTATAATATTATTTTTCTAATTTAAGAAAGAGAATAAATAACAAAAAATTAAATTCTTTTATAATATTTATTTTTTTCTTTTTTTTATAATTTGATTGGAATAATATATATATATATATAATATATATATATAATATATAAAAAGAAGAAAAAATTGGATATATTTTTTTTTAAACAATAATTTTCAAAAATAGAATATAATATGTAATTAAGCATTTCAAAAATTTTTATTTTTAACTTTTTAAAAAATTTTTTAATAAATTTGAACTTGGTGTATGTAGGAATGACGAAACAGTTGAAAGTTTTAATTTTAAAAAATATATATAATATTTTATTATTATTCTATGTACCTCTATATATATTAAAACGTATTTATTGATTGATATCGTAAAATTGTAAAGCCATATACAGTTATATTGAATTTTTAGATAAATAATGATATAATAAAAATATAAATAATATAAAATAAATTATATCAATATTTTATATAAATAAAAATGAGTATAAATAAATAAGTAAAGTGGAGGAAATGATAATAAAAAGACAATATACTAAAAACGTAGAATATGTATACAATCTCTACTATATATAAAAAGTACGAAGGGGAATATTGAAGTTTCTTTCTAAAATGGCCCCTAATATACTTTTTAATTTTATTTGATCGAATTTAATATCATTAAGAATAATTTAGAGTCATTTTCCTAATTATTAGAAAACTTTTAATTTTATTGTTTTGGATTAAAAAAATTTTAAAAAAAATCAATTTCAAGACCATTTTAAGTCCTCAACTCTAATTATAGAAACTTTTAAATATTATTTGGTTAATTAAAATTAAATTTTAGATAAATAATGATATAATAAAAATATAAATAATATAAAATAAAAATTATAATCAATATTTAATATAAAAAATAAAAATGAGTATAAATAATAAGTAAAAGTGAGGAATGATATAAAAAAGACTAATATACTAAAACGTAGAATATGTATACAATCTCTACTATATATAAAAGTACGAAGGGGAATATTGAGTTTCTAAAATGCCCCTATAAACTTTTAATTTTATTGATCGATTAAAAATATCATTAAGAATAATTTAGTCATTTTCTAATTATTAGAAAACTTTTAATTTTATTGTTTGATTAAAAAATATCATTCAAGACCATTTAGTCTCACTCTAATTAAGAAACTTTTAATTTTATTGGTTAATTAAAATTATATAATATTATCATGTTGGAATTCCAATACATGTAAAAATACTATGGTTTAACATATTATAATTTGAATATTGAAATTTCCATGGCTACCTTATCGAAATGCTGCAAACTAAAAAATTATCTTGGCAAATATTAGTCTTATAATCCAAATAAGATTTAAATTTTTATTAATAAAATATAAAATAAAAGGGGAAGAAAAGAGAGGAGAAAAGGAAGAGCAGGTGCACCAAAGGATATACAGTGCGCGCAGTTTAGGTTAAAACTTTAGCAACGAATGAAAATTCCGCTGCTAATCCATTTATAGAAGCCTTTGTGGAGGAGAATGAAACAACTTTTATATAATTTGATTGGATATATTAATAAATACATACAGGTAATTGATCCTTTAGAAATTTTTAATTTTAAAATATTTAATTTTATTATTTGATTGTTATTAAAATATTTTATTTAGAAAACAAATACAGAAAAGAAAAAAAAAAGGTAAATTTCTGTTTATTATAATATTTTTTTCTCTTTATATTTATATAATTTGATTGGTATATATTTTTTAAAAATAAATTTTAGATATATACATATCCGTAATTTTATATATACTTTCTTTTCAATAAAAAGAAAATCTATCTACATTTATAATTCTATAATTATATAATCTGGAACAATATATAAAAGTACGAATGTGGAAATAATTGGATAAAAATAATTAGAGATTTTACAATATTTGTTGACATTATTATTATTATTATTATTATTATTATTATTGCTGATCAGTATGTACGAGAAAATAAAAAGGATTAATCGTTTTAGCAATGAATTAAATAGAAAAAATCAAAATATAGTAATTAGGAAGTAATTTTCATGTTAAGTGGAAAACAAAATATATCATGGACATATTTAAATTGTAATAAATTATTAAGGCTGTATAAAAATGTTAAATAATTAAATTAGTAAGTATTGATCATATTTATACATCTTCTTAATTGGTTACTTATAAAAATTTTCAAAGAATAATTATATTATAAGAAGATTAAAAGATAGATTTTTTAGTTTATACAAATAATTTTAAATCTAATTCAAATTACTTATAAGTTCGAAATATTATTATATTATAAATAAAAAATAAATTACTAGTAAAAAATAAATATATGATGTACAAACAATGTAAATGCAAAGACAACAAATTCTCAATGTCCCTGAGAACCAATTGATGATTGAAACCGATAGCTTCTTTGCTCCTATCTGAGCCCACCATTTCTCGAGAGAGTTATTTTGTCTAACAAATTTTAGAAATGTCATATTTTTCCGTAGTCAAAATACCAGCTGAAGGCTGAAGCTGTCCAACACGATAATCTATGTTTGCATAAATATTCAATCTTTGATTCCTTGGAACCACATATGGTCCAAATAGCATCTACAACTGTAACTTGAGGATATGGCTTGAATGTTGACGTATATAGAGATTTCATTGAAGGTAGTAATACTGTAAAAGGTAAACTTAATTTTAATATTATGTGGAGTACTCCGTTTTACAATTTAATGAACAATAAATTCATTTTCAAACAACAATCGGATCTCAGCAAGCTCGGAATTATTTGTTCCATCTGGGTTTCATAACTAGTTGCACAAAGGATACAAGGATTGGCTTTCGACAATCCTTTCGCTCTAGCCTGGCATGATATCTCCACTGCAATCAATGCTCTCCCAAACTCAAGTATGTACAACATCTCTATTTTTTTCTTACATTGCATCGAATAGAACACGGTGCTCCAGAATATCTGACAGAACACCTCTCATCTTGTCAACAGAAACAGGTTTCAGTATTACACCATCCATACCAACCCTCATGCAGTTTTCCTTTGTCACTTTGTTTGTGTTTCCAGTAAGTGCCACTATTAATGGCCTTTCATGACGTTTTGTAAATTTTTCGTGTATTCGGATAGCAACATCAAAGCCATCAGGCATGCATACATCCATAAAAACCACCTTGTAATCCTGAGAAACTACTCGTAAGCATTCATCACTGGAGCTCACTGTTGTCACATCACACCCCAAGTGCACAAGAAGTCCCTTAGTTACCATCCTGCTAACCCTGTACAAAAGTAAACATGTTGAAGTCCGGTTAATTTACTTCAAGATCATTTTCTGCACTTCAGATATGAAAGCCAACATATAGTATATAAGCTGCATTTTATCATTTTAGTGTATATACAGCAATATATTGCATTCAAACTGCCAACTGTCCCAACTGTCATACCACAAAAGATATCTTCTGACCTGGACACCTTAAGAAAAGGTTATCCTTTAGCCACATGATTCCTGTTAAGGAAGCAACTATTGATTCCCCATTAAGGTAATTGCATTTGGAAACATCAAATATAGCTACTCATTCAAGCTCTAACTAACATAGATCAACGGAGATCCAAGAAGTTTACAATTTAAGCAAAAGAGTTTCCACCTGCCCCAGCTGCCTCAGTTGCCACAACCTGTGTTGCAGTTGTGTTGTAGAAATGTCAATATATTGCAGCCAAAATGTAACAGTTTTGGCCAAAGCCATGGTGAATTTTTTTTATAAAAAAAATCATAATAATACTAAATGGAATACAAAAAATTATTTATTAGAGAGTGCACGTTTCTAATAGTAATCCGTATATATACAAGAAGTAATTCTGAAACTAGTTATATAAGTTGTTAACTTGAAATCTTGCTTTTGTTTTAAGATCTCTTTTATATTTCTAAAACTGAAACCTTTCATTATTTAATTGTAGAAAATATCAGATTTATTTAATGCAGAATTTCAAATTATGCAAATAGTTCATCACCTTTAAGATTCACTAATTAATATGAAACTTTTAAAAGAAAACCTGGAGCCATTGACTAAACTAACAACAAAAGAAAAGACCATCTAAAACTACATAACACATGGGATAAAAAGTCAACCGGATAAAAGCTACTCCCTCAATACCCAAAAATTGTCACCTTTTATTCTTTTCTTTGTGTAAGAAAATATAATAAATGCTATCTTATATCCTTAATTTACCCCTTATATATCCTTCATGTCATAATGAATCTACCTTTCAAATTGAAGAATTTTAAAGGGTAAATAGGAGACTAATTCTATTACAATATTTGGATAGAGGTATTTTTTTGAAGGAATCAAAATAACTGAGAAAAATAACTATGAAAACAATTTTACCTTGCTTGGAAAAGAATGAAAAATTAACTTATTTTCCTCCCTATCTCACATAAATAAAATCTCTCCGTTTGGGAGAGAAAATAATGGTGGAATGTTGAAGTTTCTCTAATTTTTATGCAATTACCCAAATATCCAAACTACTTTTAACTAAATATTAAAGTATACGATCATGAAAGTCCTCTAACATAATAAGTGAGGTTAAAATGATAAGATATCAATATTAACAATTTTTTCCCTTAAAATTTTATCTTTTCCAAACAAAGGAAAATAAATTTATTTTCTTTCCTTCATTATCCAAACACAAGGGTGGAAAACAACACTGCAAAGAAAATTAACAATTCATCATTATTTTCCTTCATTATTTTGATTCCTCTTCTTTTCAAACAGAATGTTAATCTTTGACTTTGTGGAGATCGGCATGTATTTTGGGACTTCCAGAAAAGGATAATGGACAGCCTTTTTGGACAGGAGTACAAAAACTCTCCTAACCTGTTTATATCATCATGCAGAAACTAAGCCAACTCTTCTCAACGAGGCCGGAGCCACAGCCACAACCAGAGCCAGCTCCTCTTCTCCAGACTTTATTTTGTCCTTTTGTTTTCCATATCTCAATTCATCAACCATTCCTTCTGATTTCTCCAAATCCAAATCCCAATTTTTTTACAATTCATCAAATTTTGATGAAAAAAGAATGAAATAACCATCCTGTTAGCTGGGTAATTCAAGAATCCATGGCAGTTTGAAGTTATATAAAGTACAAAGGTTTAAAATGAAAAGAGCTGAAATTTTGAAGAGTTACCTGGGCGTTGGAAGGGGGAAAGGAAGTTTTTAGGGGAGAAAAGAAAGCAATATTTTCTATTTTGTAAAATTTGGTTGTTCATTTCTGAATCCCTTCTATTTTGTCTCTCTCTCTAATTTTCTCCTTTTCCATACCTAATTTTTTGTTCCTTGGTTGTCTCAACTTGAACCATTCATACCAGTGAAATCATCGCAGTAACAGACTATTCTCATGTGCTTCCAAATTCTGGATACCAACACCGAAAATATTCAAAACCATTACGAAGCAGCTGATACATAACGTATTAGCCAATATTTAACACTATGGAACACATGATGAAGTTTGAAACAAGATGAGTGCTTGTGTCTCTTTCTTCTTGATTCCCACTTCATCCTCTAACATAACCCTTCCCAAGGCTACTATCTCTTTTCTTTATTGTTTATGAGCAAATGAATTGATAGCAAGAGAAATTTAGATTTGTCTGTATCTTTCCTAGATAATCCAGAGATGAACCAACACATCATAACAGTTGGCTGTGAATTACAGGGAATGTGAAATTCATGACCACCCTAGTTGCACCTGGTGGCTCCTTCAGCCCAAGAATGTGCCTTTAACATGCGGTGTCACCGCAACCTTCTCTCTCTCTCTCTCTCTCCCTCTCTCTCCCTAGGGCCAAACTAGGGCAAACATGTTGCACCTGGTGGCACCTTGAGCCCAGGAATATGCTTGTAACATATGTGGTGCCACTGCAGCCTGCTCTCTCTCTCTCTCTCTCTCTCTCTCTCTCTCTCTCTCCCTAGGGCCAAAATAGGGGAAACATGGCCACCATAGTTGCACCTGGTTCTCTCTCATTCTCTCTCTCTCTCTCTCTCTCTCTACTTAGGGCCAAAAGAGGGCAAACATGGCCATCCTAGTTGCACCTGGTGGCACCTTGAGCCCAGGAATGTGCCTTTAACATATGTGGTGCCACTGCACCCCTCTCTCTCTCTCTCACACACACTCTCTCCTAAGGTTACACCTGAGGGCCAAACTAGCTGTTAACCACCCCCCCCCCCGGTGGCCACCTGGCACCCTCTCTCTCTCTCTACAACACACCTCTCTCCTAAGGTTACACCTGAGGGCCAAACTAGCTGTTAACCACCCCCCCCCCCCTCTCACTCTCTCTCTCTCTCCTCTCTCTCTCCTCTCTCCTTAGGGGCCAAAATAGGGCAAAACCTCTCTCTCTCTCTCTCTCTCTCTCTCTCTCCTTAGGGCCAAAATAGGGCAAACATGGCCACCCTAGTTGCACCTGGAGGCACCTTGAGCCCAGGAATGTGCCTTCAACATATGTGGTGCCACTGCAACCCTTTCTCTCTCACCCTCTCTTAAGGTTGCGCCTGAGGGCCAAACTGGCTGTAAACCCAACCAAACCAAAACTTCGAGACCACTGTTCCAAATGAAACTAAAATTGGCTACATCCAACCAGACATGGCCACGGCTCCAGAACCGGTACCGAACCGAAAATTTTCGGTTCTGGTTTCGGTTTGGAACCGAACGGTTCCGGTTCCTTAACTGTTACAAAATCGACGGTTCTGGCCGGTTCTCCAACCGGTTTTCCGACCGGTTTTGGACGATTCCGACCGGAATTAGAACCGTCTGTTCCAACTGGAACTGGAACCGCCGGTTCAAGGTTCCATAACTGGTGGAACCGGAACCGAACCGGTTCGACCGGTTCCAGTTCCCACCGGTTTTGGTTCCGGTTCAGACCGGTTCGGAACCGACAATTCTGGTTCCGAAAACCGGATTTTGGCCACCCTTACATCCAACTATATTTCGACATACACATTCATTGGACTAGCCTTGCAACCCCCATAAAAAACTGGCTGGAACTAGTAAAACTTATACATGGTTGCACTTAAAATCGCTTTAATTCAAACGGTCCATTTTGCATTTGCTTTTATGGTGTCCACTTGTAAATTATCTTAATCAAAAGCATTACCCTATGTTGCACGAAAACTTCCTTTGGCTGTTGTTTTCGCGTTTCGGAAACGTTTCTTGCAAGGAAACGCTTGGAAACTCCTTGGAAACGTTTCAGGGCTGCCGTTTCCATAAATTGAGTAATTTGGAAACATGTTTCCGCTCTCCAAATACATTTCTGTAAATTGGAAACTCTCAAAAACTCATTTCTCTAATTAAAATAAATGCATAAATAAATACAAATTTATAAAACATATATTTTTTACGAGCATGACACTTATAATTTTTTTATTTATAAATATAACCCTATATTTTTCATATTTACTTGTTTCCCTCACATTTCTGTTTCTTATATTTTTAAAAATACCGCTTCCCTGTGTCCGTTTCCGCATTTCCACGGCGTTTCCATTCCGGTGCAACATTGGCGTAACCTTAATCTGTTTCTAGAGTGCAATTGCAACATATCAATAAGTTTAGAGTGCTATAATTCGCTTTTAGGATGCAATTGCACTCTAAAAGTAAATTAGGCTTGCAACTAAGTTAATAAGTTCAGAATGCCAAGGTACAAAGGTCAGTTTAAAGTGAAATTGCAAATACTCAAAAAGTTCGGATTGAAATTAATGGTTAGGCCAAACAAACTTAATTTCAAACAGGATTTCTTCTAGAAAAAAACTTTGGTCAGAAACTGGCAGGAACCAGCCTGCCAGCTTATTCTGTTATAGTCTGGGGTGCCTGAAACCATGAACAGACAGTTCTCTCTCTCTCTCTTCCCCCCCCCCCCCCCCCCCTTCTCTTCCCCCCCCCCCCCCCTCACCCCCAATTTGAAGTGCTCCATATATTTACGCCTAGATGCTTTTATATATTCCCTCAAGCTTCTGCAGATTTTCCTGAGAATCTCTCTCTTACCCTCCCTCTTCCAAATTACATGACCCCCATATTGACATCTGCTTTTTCATTCCCTATTATTTTCCGTCATTGCAAAAGAAACAAATAAACCACAGGCTAGTCTTAAGATTATTCAATCATGATTAAAAGCATGAGCTAGTAATATATGTATGATAAGATGGCAATTATACTGACCCGTTATCATCCATTACAATACTTTAAGCCCAGGAAAGCTGTTTGTCCATGATTTTGACCAACGCTGTTGGCATGTAAGATGCGCTTAGCTCATTTGGAACGCTCAAGAATCCCAAGTTTTACCACAAGATAGCAGTGGCAACCCTGCCAAGACCTTCACCTTCTATCCAGATGTGTCCTTCCAAAGATTTAACCAAACCTTTTGCAGCATAAAAGGGTTAATATATCAATGCAATTATCATTAACATCCAGCACATGCAAAAACCTTGCAAGCAGATTTTTTTATAAATGAGAAACCAAACACAAGTGTGCTTAAAAACTGAATGCACCTACAACTAAAATAGTAATTGTCTTTAAAAAAAACAATTTCAGTGAAAAACAAGAAATAAATAGATTAAAAAAACTACCTTTTACAAATTGCAAGGCCGAGTCCACTGCACTAGAATTTTCTGGTGCCAAAGATTTGACTTTGTGCGAAATTTTAGTAAATAATTTGGGAATATCTTGCGGGGTTATATTCCTAGCCTTCATTCTTTTTACCTATGCCAGAAGATAACAAGCCATATATAATCAACTTCAAAACATTAGGCTCAAATTTCAAGACAGAAGAATTCATTAAGAACAAAATGTACCTTACCTGTACTCGCAATAGAAGTGATTGTTCACTTGAAACGAAAAAAATCAGGAAACGGAGATCTCTTAGAGATATTCTGGTTTAGCAACAAAACAGTGACTCGAGGATGTTGCCTTCTTGTTTGAGAACTTCACAGCATTACATACCAAACATATCAAAAAATAGTTTGCATAAGGCGTTTTTCATCCCCAGTGGCAATTCTGGCAAATCTGGAGCCAAAGTTATGTAATTAGCAACTTCTTTAACAGAGCAATAGGCTTAATCAAAGTTAAGAAACCTGCAATGCCAAAAGGACACTGACTGTTTAGTAACCAAAGCACCCCAAATTTTGAAAAATTCAAATATATAGGCCTCAAAATCAAATAGAGCAATTTCGCAAAGATGTAACAGGCGCCTTACCTCCCTGAATACAGCATGAAGATAAAAGTTCTCATATCAAGCTGAGGTTCATCTTCAAGCCTCGATAGGTCAATACATTTCATTTATTGAGATAGCCCAAGAGTTACTACTCTTAAGAATTGTCTCAACCATCACGCGCTCAGGTGTAAGCTCAGTTTCTTGCAACAGGGAAGAAAGAATGCAATAATTGCATGCATTGGATTTCTCATTTCATGGTTCATCACAGCCAAGAAAAGCATTGCGAGCACGGACTAGCTGATTTCAGCTTCCCTCCTTGCCAAGATCCAGCGCCACATTCTGCTCCATAGAAGATCCTTGCCCTCATTGACTCCTCTTAAGATAGCAGCATGTGATAGATAGCAACAGCAAACCTGGTTCAAAAAAAATTTCAAATAAATCAGAAACAGGAATCATAAATATGCTCTTCTATATAGCCTGATCCATCAACCTGTTTCTTCCATGTTAATGGGACACCACGCCAAACAGTAAATGGCTTTGTAGAGCCAAAAAAAAATGCTAGAGGCAAGTGTTCTTAGTTGCCAAGGTCAGCATGTGTAAAATCTCTACCATCTGATTGCAAAATAGATTGATTGCGAAGCGTCATTTGAAACTTTACGCATAATTTTTTCCTCCCCATCCTTTTCCTTCCTGTTCTCCTTAGTTCTTCTATTTTCTTGACTCTCAGATTTTTGGTTCACTCTCCTTTTCTTTTCAAATTCTCTTCTTTTACTTCTTCCTCTCTCTCTCTGCTACTTCGTATCCCTATTATAATTTAATTCTCTCTTGTTTATTTTCTTTGTTTTTCTTTCGTTTTCTTCTAGCTATTTTGTTCTACATCATCATGTTAATCTACTCTCCCTTCTATTTAAAAAATGTAGATCATGCACAGGCTTGCTTTCTTATTTCCTAGTGTCCAACACAGAAGAATGCATTGGCCATGTTAATACAGAACTTAGTTTTCTTTTCTTTGCAAAATTTTACTTGGATCCCACATAGAGGGGCAGCCACCACTTTAAAAAAATTATGGACATTACTTTTGACATTGATAAATTTGCAATATGCACAATTATTACATTGATACACTTAGTTTAAAATAATTAAAACTTACTCGTCAAATACTTTGTTTGTTGGAATATGTAATGAACTAAAAATAGGAATAAAAACAATTTGTGTAAAATGCCACAAAGAGTACAATTTCAAACTATAATGATATAGATATACAAATATATTGGCATGCAGGGTAATGCAACAAATTAATAAGGCCACTTAATAACCTTGATCAGCAAACGGGACTTCAACAAGCTCCCAACTCATAAAGCATGCCACTGCCTTGCACTATCTGAGGGAGCATTTAAAACCATCAAAGCATAACGTTTTGTAGTGAAAAGTTTCAGGCCAGTCATTAATTGAAAAATTATAGAGATTGAAGAAGAGGAACGCGAACGGCCACCACCCTCTTCCAGGCATATATTTTCCTGTAAAAGGTCGTTATTCTTGCACTGGGACATATAGGCGATATTTTTACAGCACGGTTGCTGCTGAAATAACCCTGATTAATCACAGGAAGTTGGATAGGTACAGTATACACCAACTAGGATTCTTGCCTGCCGGAGAGTTGTAGAAAGTTGAAGCTCTAAACCAGTGCGGGTGGGGCATCCACAAAGGCACATTCCTCCAATGCCAATTCCTACCAGTTCAACAAGAGTGGCTTTAAAATGGTATGCCCTATCAAGTGTGCTTCTGATCTCATGAGTCAACATCTCTAACATGCCTCCCGCGTTTTCTTCTTTGTGTACGGATCAGAACCCAATCTCTACTATCCAGCTCTGCAGCTTTGTTTTTCAAGAATTTTCTCTAGTTTTGGTGACGCTCAAAGGCAGGAAAATGTCACGATGAGCGCTGTCGCACATGACACCACAGCAGTTAAGACGTTTGCTGTATCAATCACAATTCCACAGTTCGCGAAATGGCATGGTAAAAGTCCATATTAAGTTAATAAGATGTTTGCCCCACATAGAACAATTAAAAGCCACCAAACTGCCACAAGCACATCTATAGGAAACACCTGCAGATTTCTTACAAAGTAGATGAGCTCTAGGGATGGAGAAATAAGCAAGAGCCATTGAAGAAAAGAAATCTGAAATATATTGGTATTTCATTTCAAAGTTCCTCTGCTGGCCAATTGTGGCTTCGTACTACAGTGCAAGACTCCATTTTTTGGTTAAACTTTGAATATCCTCAAGGACTCTACTTCCTTTACCAGGACACCTGCCAAAATTGCAACCTTTATAATTTTTTATATAACTTATTCCACACTCCACCATCATCAAATAATATATAACAAAACACAAGCTTCAAATTATTAAATTACATCTCAAATGATTAACTACCCAGTCATAGCTTACAAGTGATTGAAAAAAAAAGGCACATATTAACAAGAAACCAGTAATATAGGCTACAGAAGAAAGAAAAACAAGAAGAGGAAAAACCCATTATTTTCTAAGTGTAAAAATCCACAAAAGACTGGTCACAAATTACAAAATCCTGAACCAATTTCAACATCTATAGTCTAAATACTGGCCGATCATGCCCAAAGTGACTGCGAAACAGCCGTCAGGTAATGTTATACAAGATTTTACCTAGATTTCGTCTGCGAAAATATAAATTTTTGTGAACAAAGGAGAATTATTTTTATCAGAGGAAAGAGAAGCAAAGAAAAAAAAATTACAGACATTTAGTGAACCTGCAACAAAAAGAACCAAAACTAAATGCGTTCTTTTTCCTTCGACACTTCAAAATTTTCAGCTTCCTCATTCTACATTCTTCCCAATTTTTCCTTCATAACTACCAGAGATCTTTGCATTCAGCCAGCGGGATAAAGAGGGATAAGTTTCATTTCTATTTCATCAAAAATTGATGGCTCAGCACAAATTGGGATTAGTTTCGTGGAAATCAGGATAGTGAACGGTTGAAGAAATTTTAAGACATAAAAAGAAGAGAGAAAAGAGTTAGGACGTAGAAGAGAGAGCGGCTTCGGCTGTGGAACGCCGTCCGTGTGGAGAAGTGGGATGCGGTCGGTTCCTGCTTTTTGCGTGATATATAATTTAGTGGGCGTTGTTCCGGTGATTAATTTTATTATTAAATTAATATTTAACAACGTTGCTACTTTCATTATATTTTTTTCGTTTTTTTTTAACATGGTTGAATGTGATTTTTAATGTAAATAAAATTAATAATAAGTTATTTAGAAATTATATCATATACTATATATATATATATATATATTAATGCGTAAATAAAATAATGAGCATATAGAAAATTTATTAAAATAGTATGGCAAAAACAAAACATATATTGGAAAAGTGAAAAAATAAAAAATAATAATAACTCACAGAAAAATTGTTCCTCTGAAAATAAGAATTAACGATGAGGAGAAAAGTATTTGAAATAAATTAATTAGAAACCCCATAATCAAGAAATAAATTTTTCGGTAAATTTTTTTATAAGAGTTATATATATATTTATAAATTGATTAATTTTATTAATAAAATGATAATTTAAGAAAATTTCTAATGAGTTATAATTATTAATTCAAAATAATTGATAAATTAAGATATTACCAGAAAGTCTTGCATTTTATTATTTTGAACTATTAACAATACATTTAAATAATAATACAATTTTTTTATTTATTTAAAATTACTTTTTAAAAATTTACTGTAAGAGTTAGCTAAAAGGTTAGTTGTACGGTTAATGTAAATAATATTAAGATTTCATTAATTTAATTAATATATTAATAATAAATATTAATTTTTTTATTTTGGATGTAGATAGAAAGCAATAATAAACCAATCCCGATTAAGGATTTACTGTATTAAATAATGATTAATTAATTTATTTTATTAGCCCAATCAAATTTAAGGTGGTAATTTCTCATTAATAATTTGATCATTTTTTTTATCCCATTTTAAATAATTTCTTATGGATACCTTTATCCGTTTTTTCATGACGTGTTTTGCATGTGATTATGTTCATTATAGTACTCATTTTTGTAATCTTTCATTTTTTTTAATCTATATTAATACTCCCTATATTCTCTTTATTTAGCAGAAATTTTCATTTTGTGTATTTTTATATAGCAAGCATATTAAAAGACTTTAAAAAACTTCTTGGAGTATATATCATTTTTAAAATTGAAGGCTCAATAATCAAGGGAAAGTGGTAGACACACAATACTCTCAGCATTTTAAATTCACGGCGTGTTTTTCAAGGACAAGTTTTATCGGACTCACTTTTTCATTTACTTTTGTATAGTATCAATGGATCATTTTTATAAATTTTACCATATTAAATACAGAGTTTACCCCTATTTATAGTTGTAAATAGAAAAAACCCAGTCGCGAAAAAATTATGGAGGACCACACTTTGCTGTTCAATTAATGCTCAATCTAGGTAAAGAATGATGACAATAAATAGTTAATGTAGACTTTATGATAGTAATAGTTGCACTTATCGGATTTTATCTTTTGCTTTTATTGTAAATCATTTAGTGGGCCTTTTGTTTTTTAGTACTTGTGCATTTTTTTTCAAATCCTTATAATGGTTGTACTCTTGTTGTAAGTTACTTTTAGTGACATTTTGTTTTTAGATATTTGTTGCACTTTTTTCTTTCAATTTTTGTTACTCATATTATTTAATGGTTGTTGAACTTTCTGTAAGTCACTTTTGGCCTTTTAATTATTAGTTGTGTACTTTTGTAAGTCATTTTGTGGCCATATTTTAAGTTTACTTGTGCACTTTTTGCCAGATGGCTTTTGTTTCTCTTTTTAGTTAACAGTTTTTAAATTCTATAAATCACTTTGTGGTCTTTTAATTTATTAGTTGTGCACTTTTATAAGACATTTTTGATGCCTTATGTATTTCTTAGTGTGTAATTTTCCAAATCCTTATAATAGTTTGTACTCTTTTGTAAGCCACCTTGTGCGCCTTATTTATTATTAGTTGTGCACTTTTCAAAATGAAAGTTGTCACACACTAATTGCATAGAATGTTGCCATTTTTTTAAAAAAAAAAAATTATGCCTTCCAAAGTCACACTAGAAACTCGAATTTTAATACCACTTTTCAATTAAATACTTGTTAAGAGCCCACAATACATAGATCAAGTAATTTTTTAGAAATGCGTAAGTAGAATATAAATTGATAAGATAAAATTTAAGAAGATTACAAAATTGAGAGAGAATTAATGTTATTAATTCATAGACTCATATTGTGACAAACCATTCACCATTTTCGTTTTCATTATGTATAACGATTACAAGTCGGAGGATGCCAAAGTAGTAGCCATTTCTATATATTGTGGTGACCATTAGATGTTATGGAGAAGTGAATAAATTTTTGTATACAGATCATAATGTGTATTCTATTAATATGGGCTAAGGTTTATAAGTCAAGGAGTTTGATTGGTAAACTCAAAAAAAATGCTCCAATTTTGACCACATATGTATTGTGCATTTTTTACTTAGCTTTTTCTACAATTCATTTAATAATTAGAGAAACCAAATTTTACTTTTTAATTTTGAATTTGAATTTTGAAAAAATATTCAACTTTAAACAGTAGAGAAAAATTTAAGTTTTCCCTCTTTATTTTCGCTGAAAAATTTTGGAAAATTGTGGCCTTCAATGAATAAGTTCAAGAAATTTGACCTTTAATTTAGGCTTCAAAAATTTGACCTTTTAATTTAGTTTCAAAATTTTTTTTCGTTTTTGTGCACGCGTTTATATAGAAACATCTCCCATTTATAAAGTCAGATTATAGTTATAAAGAAAGGTCAGGAAAGTGCGCTCCCAAGATGCAAGTAGGCTAATAAATGCAATTCTTGAGACTACCTCTTTTTTTCACTATTTTCCTATAATTAAATGTAGTAAATAGATGCGCATTTTAAGGAGAAAACTGTAATTTAATAATTTTCTTAATCAAGAGCTTTTAATGTTTTTTCTAATAAGAGAACACATGGAAAAGTGATTTAAAGTATTAAGTTTTTGTTTAGGATAATAATTAAACAACAATAGATTAATTTTGTATTACTCTTTACTCTAGAATTATTTATAATGCTACTTCTTATGTATCTTAAAAAATAACAATTAAAAATAGTCTCAAATTAAACTTAACTCAATTCCTTAAATCTAATCTCTTAGCCCCTAATTTATAATGCAAATTTTATAGATCCTTATAGGTGTCCAAAAAGAAAATCAACGTCTCACTCAATCGCCAACCTGCTTTACCCTCAACCCCAAAATGTTTATATACAATTTTATAATGGAAAATAATAATTAATTATTTTTACTGTATGTAAGAGAAAAAATAAAAGGATTGGTGAATTGATAGATAGCTCAATCACTTTTGACTGTATTGACAATATTACTCACCCAGTACAGTACGGAAAGGAAATATATGCCATATGCACTGAGACACTCAATGTTTGAACCTTGAAATGACGTCTGTGATTTATAATTTCTTTTTTATGGTATAAGAATTGAATCGGGATCCGATCGCTCTGATTCTCCAAACCGCCGGTCCATGCTGGGTTAATGGATTATTTGACCATTTTTACTTTGTCGGATTTTTTGAGCGCCTTTGCAAACTAAATAGGGCCCAGCAAAGCGCTTCAGGTCCGCTTTGGTCTCCACTTCCGGTGTATTTTGTCTTCATTTTGCATGCCACTGGTGCCCGATTCAGTAAAAAAAGGGCTCGATTTAGGATTCACTAGTGGCATTTTTACGGGCTTAGGCCCTAAAATTAGGGCAAAGCCCTGTTTGCCTATGAAATAGGCTTTGGGATTAGTGCCAAGAAGGGTTTTTTTTGAGAGAAGCTTAGGGAAAACATCTATCCATTTCAAAAGAAATTCGAACTATTGAACAATTAGAGGAAAAACTTGTGTTCTTTCTTTGATTCTTTAAGTGATTATTCATTGAATATTAATAAAAAAACTCCCAGATTGCAATTGTGAAAAACCTACAAACAATTTTATTCATTTAATCTCAATCTGGATTTTGGTTAAGAATAAAGCTTTGAGAAGTTCTTTTGGTTCATTTCCCAAAAACTTTTGGAATTTTTTCATAGAAAGGTAACTCTCTCAATTAAAGGCCATGGAGATTCCTTGTAGTTGTTGTCATTCTAAGAGAAATCTCTATTTTCCATAATCAAGTTTTACA